TATGCCGCAGAACATTCTGGCTTTGGAGTATCATCTTCAGGTGCTATTCCTCTTGGGTGCAGAATCAGGATTCCCTTCATGCCTCTATGCAGCGCTAAAAGCTCCAGGCAGATGGCAGGCGTCTACCCGCTCCTCCCTTACAGGTTGGGCAGAGGGTGTTCAGTTCAGGGGTTAAGTCCAGTACCTGGTCCACTGGAAAGGCTTCAGTCCGGAGGTACGTTCTTGGGTACCTTCCTCTGATGTTTATGCCCCCGCCATCCTCTGTGCCTTCCATGCTCACTTTCCACATAAGCCTTTTGTCCTCCTGTGCGGTAGGGGTCATTGAGGAGAGTGTACTGTCAGTGTTTCTTACCCTTACTTGTCCATTTGAGCTGCAGCCTGTCTTCTGCACTTTAAGTTTCTGTCTTGTTTCTTGGTTCACTGACAGCCTCTTTTTTTCCCTTAGCTGGCAGGAGTGGAGCCTCGGATGCTATAACAAATTTTCTTCAAGGGTCAACATGTTTTGTGGTTTACTATTGTGAAGAATGTTTATTTGACTATTAGACTGTAGAATAACTCACAACGTCCATCTTATTGCTCCGATTACATAATTTTTCAGCAGAAATGCCAATCACTGGATGTTTGTTGCTTCTGACCTAATTGCCTCCTGGTTTCCAAATTAATTTGTCCACCACTAAATTTGTTTCTAATGTAGCAATAAGCTTCGAGTTCTTGTGGTGTTGATTTGTGCGCAGTTAGGTGAACAGACAAACTAAATGGCCAGATTTGGTCAGTTTGCTGACCTGACTGAATTTGTGGATTCTGCAGTTGGAACTCATTTGTATTGATATCACCACTAAATGTCAGCTTTCCACCTTGTGTCATGATCATATCTGTACAACAATGTCACCCAGGTTCCCCGGCGATGTGTTGACATTCCAGCATTGCCGGTGAAACTGTCAATTGTGCTGGGAGTATTGACGAGTCATCGGGTTGTCGCTCATCATGCTTGATGGATCTACAGTGCTGGATGACATGAACAAGGTGCATGCACTTGCTGCTCCCCCTCGCCAGGCTGTATGCTTAGATTAGGGTGTGAACCCGTGTTTTTTTTGTTTACATGGGTTTCCCTGTCAACATTTATACCAGACCCTTATCCATGATAAGGATCTGGTATGAATGATGATGGGCACCCCCCACCATTTATTTTGTTGTTTTTTTATGTTTTGGATGGGTCCCCCTAAAAACCCATACCAGGCCATTTTTCAATGTCTACTCAACATCCATACCAGATCTATATTCTGATTAGTGGATATTCACTTGCTGGCAAGGGAGCAGTCATTTGTGATGGGATTAGTGATGGTAGAAGATCATTGTGGCAAAGGTCATCATGATATGATGATATGGTATGGTTCAGGAGGGGGCATGAACACTCGCTGCCACCCTATTTCTAGCCTACAGACATCATTCTTGGATAAGGGTCTGGTATGGTTTATTTTGTTTTGTTTGATGTCCCCCACAAGTCTATAGCTATATTTATCAAAGATAAGGAAGGGTCTGGCATGTATCTTGAGGGACACAGCACACCTTTTTTGTGTTCTTATGCATAGAGTCCCCCTTAAAATTCATACCAGACCCTTATCCAATGAATAATGGTCTACTGTGAATTTTGAAGGGGACACAATGCAGTTTAAAAGAACAAAGCCAACCAGGAAATGTCATTTGGCCAGAACATATTTTTTTCTTTTCAAAATGTCACTTTTGCTGAAGTACAGGGTGGCGGGCCTCACATGCAGGTTTTTGCATTGGTACATTTTCCCCATAGCAGTGTCCACCTACCCATGCCCTTTTATGACCAAATTTAACCAAAGCTAGCAAATTGGCCTTAAAAAATGCCAAATAATTATTACAAATGTTGACCTTTATAGGCTTTTTCAGTTTAGCTGCTCTTTTTGGGTGCTCCCAGATTTCATGCTGGGTTCAGCAAATATCCAACAACCAAAACTTTGCTTGGGTCACAGATCCCTAGACTCAAGTGATCACACTAGTCCTAACGTGGTGACGTCTAATCGTATGGATGATAATGTATCCATTTTTGGGTTGGAGGCATATGATAAGTTAGGACATTGTTTTATAAATATATAAAAGCACACAGCTCTTCACTATACTTTTCCACATCCCTGTCTGTAACCATTTACTACATTTGCTCTCCTATGCTCTTGTCCCTGTATTCTCACCCAAACTGTTATTAAAATTCAGTACCTTCAAAGTCAGCAGATTTCCAACTTACAGCAACAGTCTCAACTACTTACAGCAAATGTTTGATTGGTGACTAGCTCTTCCTTCTAGTGACCTTATGTATGCTGCACTGCCAGGTCTTGACTGACAGATCAGTACTTAGTGTACTGCCACTGTTAAAAATTCTGACAAACCAATTTTAAAACATTATTTCATGATGTATATGTCTAAATAGGTCCCAGGTATACTAAGGACATATTTCATAAGAATGTTATATAAATATATATATA